ACCCACCCACCCCCGCCTTCCCACTGAGATGCATCAGTCTGAGGAAACTAGTTTTTTATTAAAAGACGCAATGAGCAAGGGTCACCCAGGATGAAAAAGATGAGTCCCTAACGTAACCTCACATGATAATAGCTCCCTGACCAACTCAAGAAGTGGCAGCGCTTATCAGTGGCACCCCTGCGGGCTGCCTGCCCTCCTCCATCAGAAAGGAGAGAAGGAAGAGGCAAAGCCCTCCTTGTGTTTGCCACACCAGGTCCCACAGTCCGTGTCCTGTACCCTCCCCTTGAGCTGAGAGTGGCCCTGAGCAGGGTTCTTGGCAGTCCTCAGGCGCCCTGCCTCACAGAGCCTTGCCTCCAAACAGAACAGCACAGTGACTCACGGGAACAGGACCTTGGTGAGCAGCAGCATGAAGGATCACCCTCACATGCAATACTATGCCGGCGTCTACGCCCTCTCCATGGCCGTCATGCTGCTCCTGAAGGCTGTTCGAGGAGTGGTCTTTGTCAAGGTATGCCGCGGTCACCTCTGCTCCTGCTCACCCTGCTGGCTGTGGCCAGGCTTCGGCATGGCCTGTCCTGGGTTCATTCTGAGGAGGGAGCTCCTTCGAGGCACAGTAGCCTCCACGGGTATGACCTGTATCCCTGGAGCCTCAGACTTTTCCCATTAGGCACCTCACTCCTCCAGGGCCATGTGCCCTTCTCCAGTTTTGGGAGTGGATGTCCTGTGGAGTTGTGGCTTGTGAAGTAGGGACTGAGCCTGCTTGAGTCCCCGGGTCTATGGGCCTTGATCACTTTGTGCTCTGCTCCGTAGGGCACACTTCGAGCCTCTTCCCGGCTCCATGACGAGCTTTTCCGAAGGATCCTTCGAAGCCCCATGAAGTTTTTTGACACTACCCCCACGGGGAGGATTCTCAACAGGTTTTCCAGAGACATGGATGAAGGTATTTCTCACCACTGTGCCCTCCAGTCTTCTAGAGGACGTTCCCCGATAACGCAGGTCGACCAGCCTTACATTCTGAAAGCACTGTGGCTGCTGGTGTTTGTATCAGGAACATTTTCATTTTGCCATTTTCTCCAGGTTGCAACTTATATTTAGGCGAAGGACCCATCTGATTTTTCACCTTCTAAGTTTTCACTTGATCTAACCTGAAAACAAATTCAGAAGATTGAGTTAGTGTAAAGGCTTTGGATCAGGGGCATCTGAGGTTCCAAAACATATATTTATTTTAGGGGTAGTTCACTGCTTTCTGGACACGTACAGCCTCTGACAGGTTTTCTGAGTGCTGCATGGGCTGTGCCAGCACCAGAACTGAAATACTCCCCAGTGCCCAGACTATTAGTAATGCCACCTGCCATTTATTGAGGGCTTACTGGGTGCTGAATGTTCTACATGCCTTGTCCTGGTCCTCACAGCAGCCCTATGAGGTGGGTATTGTTTCACCCATTGAATACATGAGAAAGCTGATGCCTAGAAAGGTTAAATAACTTGCCCAAGGTTGCGCAGCTATTAGATAACAGAGTGGGAATTGAGCCCAGGTCCTTTTGACCCCAGAGCTAATGTTTTTACTGCACTGTGCTGCCTAGAAGGAGTTCATTTCAGATGTTGATAAGCAGTGTAAAGCCATAGCCAGAGATAGTAAAGCCTCAAAACCATCACTGATACACAGAACTGATGCACGACATGATCCCATTTCTGCTAAACACACACACACAAACTGAGAAAAGACTGAAATTTTTAAAAATCAGTAGTATCAATGTATCTGGGATTTGCATGAAAATACTCTAATCCCCTCCCCTCCAAAAAAAGGTAGCAGGGTGAGTAGCCAAAAAGGAGATGAGGAAATTGTTGATAATTGTTTGAGTTTCTATACTCTTTTGACTTTTGTGTATGTTTAAAACTTTCCATGATGAAAATTTTCTTAAATGTTAACAGCAGTTCATTGTTTTTGGTAGGAATAAAGATATGTGTACTCTTTTTTTGCATATTTATTTTCAAAATGTTTTACAACAAGCATATATTACTTTGTAAAGGGGGAAATGTTTAAAGGGTTTGGGCAGCATAGTGAACTGAAAAGAGGACATAGGGAAGAAAGAATACTTACATTTTCTTGGGACAAGGAAAATCAGAGCAGCCAGGTTTCTAGATTTTTCTTTGATCAGTCTGTTTAAAAGACAACACACAAATTTCAGATAGGATTTTGAGGAATATCTTTTTGTTTTCTGTTTAATTTTTGGTTCCATTTTTCCTGTTTGTGGATCCCCACAGCCTGACACATTTCTTTATGGTTTTCCCAGTCGATGTGCGCTTGCCCTTCCAGGCTGAGATGTTCATCCAAAATGTCATTCTGGTGTTCTTCTGTGTTGGGATGATCGCAGGGGTTTTCCCATGGTTCCTGGTGGCAGTGGCACCCCTCATCATCCTCTTTGCAGCTCTGCACATTGTGTCCAGGTAAAGAGGAAGGGTTCGTGTCTTCCAGGGCAGAGGATGGAGCCAGAGTTGCTGCCTGCCCTCTGACACAACTCATTCTCTCGCCAGGGTCCTGATTCGGGAGCTGAAGCGTCTGGACAATATCACGCAGTCGCCTTTCCTCTCTCACATCACATCCAGCATACAGGGCCTTGCCACCATCCACGCCTACAACAAGGGGCAGGAGTTTCTGCACAGGTTAGTGCTGAAGCAGGGCCAGAGGGCTCAAAGAGGAGCCAGCATCCCTGAATTGAGTCAGAGTCCAAGAGACCTTTCTTGGTCAGAATAGGGGATTATAAAGATCATCACTAGTGATTTAATTGTCTCTGATTAAAATTCACTTGCTTGGTGGACAAAAACACACATTTGGAGTCTATTGGCTTTTGGTCCTGAGTGACCGTATTTGATGAAGTTTTGTGGGTTTTTTTGAACAGTCAATGATAGTCATTGATATTAGACTGACATTTTATTTAGTAGTTAAATATTGTTTATATGAGACGTTTATGTACCTAGATAGTCATTGTGGAGATTTATATTAACAAGAGATTGGAACTAACTTAAAGTCCTTCACAGAGGACTGGTTAAAGGAGCTATGGTACATTCATTGAGTGGAATATTATGTGGCCCTTAAAAAACACAAGGGAGCTCTAAAGGTACTGATACCAAATGACTTGTAAAATATATTAGTGAAAGAACAAGGTACTGATGTGTGTGTGTGCTGTTCTCCCTTTTTTTTTAATTTTAATTTTTTGTTAATCCTCACTCAAGGATATTTTTTCCATTGATTTTTAGAGAGAGGGAGGGAGGGGTGAGAGGGAGAGAGAGACATCGATGTGAGAGAGGCACATCGATTGGTTGCCTCCCGCATATGCCCTGACCAGAGCCAGGGATCAGACCTGTAACCCTTTGGTACTTAGGCTGACGCTCTAACCATTGAGATCAGCAGCCAGGTCTATTCTCCCTTTTAAGTGTGTTTGTATATATAACATTTAGAATATCTCTGAAAGGATATACAGGAAACTAGTAGTTGTCGCTGGAGAGGGGAATGGAGCAGCTGAAGAATGGGCAGGAGAAAAACTGACTTTTCATGGTAAAACTTTTGTACCTTTTAAATAGCCTGTCCTATGCATATATTGTCTATTCCAAAAATTAAGTAATTAATTTATTTTTAAAAAATCTAGAGTAAAAAGATTAGGTTAGATAACTGAGAAAAATAACCTTAACTTTCAATGAAAAAGATTAAAATATACTGTTTGTGTGTGTGTGTGTGTGTGTGTGTGTGTGTGTGTGTGTGTGTGT